TTCAGTTAGCATAATATAATTTTGCAAACTTCATAGTTTTTATACATTAAATTGAATAAAAATATAAGATAACACATGCATGAATGCCTAATGTAGATCTCATTCTATATAGTTAAATTATTTTTATTCGATTTTAAAAAATAAAATTTATTGATTTTGTAAACTCGTATTCAATTAATTGAAATTAAAAATATGCATATTAAATTGATTAAATTGAAAATACATAAAATTATTTAATGAATTTATGAAAACGTAGGTTGCAAATAGTGTGGGTCCTCCAACTATTTATATACATAGAGAGAGAGAAAATGGGGTCCACAGAGCACGTGAGAAAGGGGGTGATGTTGTCAGCAATCATGTGAGGTCTTTTTATAGGTTCGTTTTCAAAAGCCAACCAACGTTGGGTCAGGGGTGGGTCAAATTCCACGTGGCATAAGACTTTCCTTAGATGTTTCTTTCATACGTGTGCTCAGGTTCAACAGGTCTACAGTAACATGGTAGCACGTGCAAATTCGCCACGTGAGTTGCGCATACCTCACGTGCTTTTCACTTGATGCATGGCTTTGAGCAAGGAGCGAGGAACTCGACTCATTTTCCTTCTCCCTCTCATGAAGGCTCCTCTCACTTATCATGTCTCTCATTCTCAAAAACAGAAAAGAAACAAAAATATCCTCTCAAATCTGATTACCATGGATGGTTTTTTTCCACTGCTTTCAAATTTTTATGTTGGACAAGCATGAAAATAGATAATATATTAATAATTTGTAATAAGCTATAGAAGCTCGCGAGTCGAAACCTTTGATCATTCAGTTAACATATTTTTTATTTTTATTAAATTAATGTCCAAAATAGGAGTTTTGATTTTTTTTTTTAAATGATAATTTTAATAACTTTTTTTATTTACTTTTCCATAAAAATTTTAATACCTTTTTTAAATTTATTTTTCATATTCTATAATTAGTCTATATTAAAGTTTATGTTTTCTTCTTTATTTTCTCTTTATGTATAGTCTTTTCTTTTTCTTTCAATACCTTTTTATTCTTTTTTTTTTTTTTTTGTATAAATCCAATTACTATTAGTTAGTTGTTCTATTCACTTTTCCTTTTTGCTATATAGCTAATTATTAGTTGTTGAATTTTCTTTTCTGTAACTATATATCCATCCTTAATCAAACATTTGATTCAACTAAAACATTCTTGAATTTTTATTAATTTAATGTCAAGAATAGAAATTCTAATACTTTTCTATTTCTTTTTTTTTAATAGTTTTAATACCTCTTTTATTTTCCTTTCCATAAGAATTTTAATACCTTCATTAAATTCCTCTTCCTATTCTAACTCCATTGAATTTCCCGTTTTCTGCTTTTATTTTCTATCTATATACAAAGTCTTTCCTTTTTATTTTAAATCTTTTTTATTCTTTTTTTTTAAATGAAGCTAATTACTATTAATAGTTGTATTAACTTTTCCTTTTTAGTAGATAGCGAACTATTATTTGTTATATTTTCCTTTTTATAATTCGCCACCATTAATTCATTATTATCTTTTCTAACTAATTAATGACAATTAATTATTAATTTTCAATCCATGAAAAAATAGAACAAAAAGAAAATATAGGTGAATAATATATGTATTAAGCACGTCTCATAAAAAACTAGTAAGATTATAAAAGGATAATAAAAAAATGAACTCTATAAAACGTTCCAACAAAGGCCTGAAACCCAACTAGAGAATCAATGGAACATTTACGTGCGTTTGTCTTGAACTCAAATCCCTGAGGCTTACATCCGAAGAGGAAGGCCTGAAGCCAAGACATCAATGATTCAGCTTCCGGATTTGTTTCTCAAAGTCCCAACCAGCTAACCCTTTGATGAATATGGAGCCAGAGGTTGCAAGTGAATGAGGATACAAAATATCATCTCTATTCCTTAGAATGATAGTATCCATTCGAATTTCCTTTCTCAAAAAAATTAACACCGCATCTCTCTAGTGATCAACTTTTTCTAAAATGTAAATTATTGTGATCTTGCAATGTTTTAGAAGGAAACAATTTCTATTTTCCCCACATAACATTCTCTTAATTTTTGTCAGCGTTGATAGTGATAGGATTAATCAACTCCTCAGCTTTTACTTCCTAAGTTTTGGTCTGATCATAGCTGATCTCCAGTCTTGGAGTTGGGGAAGACCAAATGTAAGCAAAAACCATTATATTACTGGCTTGATGATCATTAAAGAGGCCAAAATATTTTTATGCACTCTGTCTGTACAAGAAAAATAGGAGAGCTGTCAGGCAAGGTCAAGAGGAAAAGGCAAAACTAGGCAGGAAAAGAGCAAAAGCTGAAAGAATTGTAAATCAATGCATCCATATCCCTCCTTATTGTCGTTCGTTTTTGCCAACGAATCCGCAGTAAATTAAATTAGTATCACAAATATAATGAAGCTAAGCCACCTCCTTTAGGTAGAGCAATGAGCAATCGCTTTGGAAACAAACCTAAATCCTTAGGAATGGACCAAGACAGGATGCATTCAACCTTCCTCAAATAACCAAATCACATTAACAAAAATCCACTATATTAATTGGTTTGATCCACACCGCAGACCGGTCTATGGGAAAAACATTATGCTGATCATAGGTTCAATACATCTTGTTTAATTTATAGAATGCCAAAGACCACTTTTTAAAAGCTGATTAGCTTGTGGAGAATAAAACAGTCCAACATCTTCATCTGAGGGAGCATACACAATCATAAGTACCTCTAAATCGCTGGTTAATCCATCAAGACCCAAACTTTGTGGTTAATTATGAATGATTCCTTAACAATGAGCCATCTCACATGACCAAAAACTTCCAGATCTGCATCTGTATCAATAATTATATATAGTTCTAATCCACTTGACATCACCGAAGCTATCAGCCCAAAAAACCAAACTCTGCCTTACGTAAAGTTGCCAGATTCCAAGTACCTTGATCATAAGAGTGGGTTCACATTCGGCAGCTTAGGTCTCTACTTTGAACTAGATTTACAAAGGAAAATTTAGTAGGCGAAAACAGTTAAAGGCCAAATGTCAAATGGTAGCTAATCATCCATGGGGCGGAAAGAAACTAACAAATGTGATGATGTTCATCCAAATTCATAAGATGGTTGGTCTCAATTGTTTCATGTTGGAACGAACTCATGGTCTCATAATAAATTTTGTCCTAAGAAAGGGTCTTCTAAGAAGAGAAGTGGTATTTAGAGCTTATAAAATTTCTGAACACACTGACTCTCAACCAAATATAACCTCCAAATTGAGGGGTTTGGATGCCAAGAGTACATGAACCATATTTTTTTCTCATGCCTAATAAAACGCAATATTTACAGATTCCCATGCATTTTTCTTTTTTCTTTTTTACTAAGAATTAACGTCCCTTCTTTCTAAAAAAGCAAGATATTTGCATGTGTGATATATCCTAGCACTATCAGTCACGTTGTTCACAGTAGATCCATACAAAGAATCAAGCCACTAGTTGCCAATGTCATGCATATCCATCCACTGATCACTATCAGTCAGCATGTAAAGTTAACATGTAAAAGTTAAAACTATAAAGTAGCAGCCCGCTTATAAAACCCACACATTTAATTAAGGCCTCATTTTTTTCTTTCAACTGTGAATCTGCAAAGACTTTATTCAATCACCACTAATATTTTTTGTCATGCCTAATTTCAACTACCTCTCACTCTCTCAAAAGAGGGAGTACTTTAGATGCTCGTGAAGTACTCATTGGTTGGTTGTGAGATCCGCAGATGAATATATACGTAATGATCTGCATTAACAGAGATTGCTAAGTTAGAAATGTATGGTTGGAATATACCTACATGTGAATAGTCAGTTTGCATTACTACTTCCAAAGGGAAAAATAATGGTTGAATGGAGACGTCCACTACTTTCTTGTTGTTACGCAAATTTTATATAGCATTTTCACGTCTAATTTTTTTGTTCCCAAATTATGTATTATTCACTAGCTATTTTAAATGAAGAACTAAAAGAGACATCCAATTTCGTAATATGACAAAACCGCATTTAGATAAAAATGTAACTTTAAAAAATTTTCAAATGAACTTATAAACTTTGAAAGTTTGTTATATTTATATCATAGAACGTTAGAAATTAATATAAAATCATACAGCTTAGGTTTTATATAATAATTTTAAATTTTAACATGATAGTGGAGTTTTATCTAAACAATCAAAAATCCATATATCATTATCTTTCATTTTATTTAATAATTTCACCTAATATAAATGTGTGTTCTTACTTAAATTTAAGTTTTTGGATTAAAATGTTTAGTATTTTCAGTGCCAATAAGCAATTGGACCAAATGCATATTAACTTCTATGGAACTGTGCGGCTACCTTGCTAATTAGTTGGAACGAACTAATAAGTAATAGTACTCTAATTTCTATTGGTTGAACTAGGCATTCTCTCAACCTCGAAGGTATTACAAAGTGTCATGTATTTGCATGCAACACCTAAAGTTCACACCAACTACTTCTTAAGCCAATTGTAGAAAGCAATGGTAGAGGAACACCGGCCCACACCTCTCATACCTAAACTAACAGAAAATAAAGGCAAAACAGTTGAAAATACAAAATATCCTCATTTTTTCTTGAGGTAGCAATGATGCTTCTCACATATCTATGAACCATCTTTTATTTCTAAACTTTCTAGAAAAATCCAGCATATATATGTGCACGACTATTCACGATTGCTTTGACAATTGACTTGTGACTCTCCAAGATCCACATAAACTCACTGTCGAGATTCTTGAAAGGCCGAGTGAACTATTATAAATATGGTGCCTGTACTCATCCTCTAGTTACCACCTTTGAGATCATAATCTTCCAAGCTCTTCTACTATACCTTGATAGGTTTCTGCAAAGCTTCAAACCAACTTTTCATCCTCTCGTTAGGGTTTTGTTGTTTCTTATCTCTAAGAGGCACATAGCATTGTGGATCAATATGGCACCACATGGGGAGGCTATTGCTAGCACTTACACTAGGACAAACGCCTTGTCCAAGCCACCAAGACTCTCAAATGACAATCTCCATCGAACAAAATCCGATATCTCTTTTGAACTAATCAAAGAAGAAATTGATATGAATCTCCCACCAATATCCGAGGTTGAAGATGCAAAATGTGAGTGTTGTGGCATGAGTGAAGAGTACACCCCTGAGTATATTGACCGAGTTCGCAACAAGTTTCTAGGGAAGTGGATATGTGGGTTGTGTTCAGAGGCAGTGAAAGAAGAGATGGAAAAAAATGGAGGCCACAAAGAGGAGGCCTTAAATGCACATATGAGTGCTTCTGCGAGGTTTAACAAATTTGGTAGGGCTTATCCAGTCTTGTCTCAAGCTGAGGCCATGAGGGCGATCTTGAAGAAAAGCTCAATAAGGGCCAAATCCATCAGTCCTAAAGGTGCTCAAAAGATGGGCGGGATTGCGAGGAGTTCAAGCTGCATTGCAGCAATTACCAGGGACATAAATGATATCAAGTTGAAAAAATGAACAATGCCTAGCTTCAGGTTGCATCTTTAATGGGGTCATGGGCCTGTATTTATCAACCTTCGTCCCCATCTCTTCTAGCTAGCCTTAAACCCTTTAGGAGTTTGTCTTTTTCTCCCTTTTTAAGCCTTTTCCAACCCCACTAGTGTTTTGATCTGGAATGACAATCCAGTCTCCTCTGCAGGTTTGATCAGTTGTTACATATTTTTACCAGATTATGCTATGTGAAGTACCTTTCTGTGTTACCCTACAAGGTTTTTTTGGGTCGATCGAGCCAAACCTGTTTTATCCTTCTCAACCATGGGTTATTTTTCTTCCCTTGGTTGATTTTGCTCCACCTTCATTTAATTAACCTTCTGGGTTTTTTCTAGGTGGCCGGTTGATCAGATTCTCCTCTATCTTATACCCTTTAATTAGGGTTATTTTATGACTTCCAGCATGGTTTTTTTGAGGATTGGTCCGAGTCGTCTCTTCCATTCTCTTCCTGCCACTTATGTTAGTTAACTACCGAAATACTACCAAGTCTATGACTAGCAGTTGGCCGTAGATGCCAAACTCTAGCTAATTAAAGGTGCAACATAATTTGCCATGTGCATGTAACAAGGGTTCAGTTGTTAATTTGAATTAGATTCTGTTGAGAACTGCCACCGTTTATTTTCCACTCAGCAACGTCTTCTTCCTTGATAATATGTAAAACCCAGTTTCATGTACTAGATGTTATGACTTCAATAAATTGTGTTTCTTTACATCAACGTAATTGGTCCATTTTTCAGTAAAAAACGAACAAACCCATGTATGATTCATGGCACTAGTGAAACAGAAGCTTTTGCAGTTGAAGTCAGGTTAATTATCTCCCTCAATTTGGTCATGCAAACAAGGCTGAGCACTTCTTCGATAAAATTCGTTGTGCCGTATTTTTTACACAAATTTTTCTCCACGTTGCATTAGCAACTTGTAGTGCAAAACATATCGCTCCATCAAGGGCCGAACGCATACAACCCAAAATATAGAGTTAGGAACTCAACCCTCTGCCGCTGCTACGCCGATCAGTCAACCATAAGAAGTTTTCATTTGAATTGACTCAGAATTAGCGATGGCAATAGGAGGAATATAAAACAAGTATCTTTTTTATCGAGCTCAATAAATATTCATTGAGAATATCCAATGAATATTGATATTCTCAATGAATATTGAAATAGATAAAAATAAAAAAATATATACCCATTAATATAATTTTAGTTTATAAATGCCTATATTTACCTTATTAATAACCATTAATTTATTTATATTTTTTTATTAACAAGTAAGGATCTAATTGCATAAAATTTAAAAATTAAAGATCAAAATATTTTAAAAAAAAACTTTGAGGACTATAAAAACTTAAATAAATGACCAAAATTAAAAAAAAAATGAAGGATAAAAAAAATTTTCTTAAAAATTATAAAAACTAAAATGAATATTTTTAATAAATTTAATTTAATAAATATTAAATAGATATTAAATGAGCACATAAACTAACACTAATCAGATATGAATTCAGTATAGATTTATAAGATGATTTCTTAAATGAATAATAGATAAAATATATTTTTTTTATGAATAAAATAAAAAATTAAATTAATAAATCAGGTATCTATCCAGTGTCATCCTTACTCAAAATTGAGTTAATTTTCACGAGGTAATTAGCTGTTATTAAGCCAACAACCTATGCAGTTAATTTATCGACGAAAATTCATGATTCGCCAGATTTCAGGAAGGTAACAAAGCTACTTGTTAATTAAACATGTTAGTTAATGGATTATCACCGAAAAGCTCAGGATTTTCAGATAAAACTTAAGTCAACTATCAATTTCATGAGGCCGTTTCGAATATTTGATTGCTAGTCTGAAAATGGCTCAGTTGCTAAAGAACAATCCTGGGTTTCCAATGGCTTTAAAAACCAAAACAGGAGTTCTGTATTCACACCGTTTCCCGTCCCTTAAACTTTCATGCTCACCAACCAATTATCAAAATGCTATTTATGACTTCCCATGCGTTGCAGAAAATAAATCTAGAACCGCCAACTTTCTACCACCATCTCCATCCTCGATGAATCTGATCTGTTCTAAACCTAAGCATTTTTATAGGTTCATAGGTTCGATAGTTCATCAAGGACTGGTGATGCAGAAAGAACCTGCTTTGGCCCTTCACAACTTGGGCAAGTTTCAGCAGTGGATAATTAGCATAGAACCAGGTTTAGACAAATCAGTAGCAAACAAACTTATCCCAGCAACTATATCGTCTCATTGATACATCCATCATCTCTAGGATAATGAATCCCACACACAAATGAAGTTCAGAACATTGCAAATGGACTAAGTACTCCACAGTTGTTACCTGTTATAGATTAAAGAAAAACAAGCCAGCAAAATAAGACGGATCTAGAGTTCTCTCTTAACCAGCCACTCCATAGATTCTGGTTCAAGTCTCAGACAAAAGACCAGTTTATAAACATAAAGCAGATGCAATGCGCATTTTCTTCTTCATTCAACACTTTCCAGGCCACAGCTCTCTCATATGACACTGGTCTGCCCATGCTTGACAAACAGATACCACCTTGAAGACAAGTAAAACCCTAGCAAAAGAAAAAAAATACATTAAGATGATTTATAATGAATTTACCACAGCCATGTCAGGCAACCCCCTACAGTATCTTATTGGGGGGAAACTGCCCAAAGCAAATGAAATTATTCTTCAACACATTAAGCTGTGCAGCTCTAAAAATCAGATCATCACAGTTTGTGATGCACATTTTTCCATCACTTACTTTGTGGTTCAGCTGATGGTTAACTTCTGGAGGATAACTAGCATATCTACCAGCATATTCCCGCAGGGATACACATTAAATTTCTTTCATTTTTCAATGCTGCTATATTTTCAGACTATGACACGTGCTTTTATGATTAATTTGATCTTTTATTAATGCTTAGCGATTTGCCCCAATGTGTTAGGTCTAGTCATAAGATAAACTTGAATAAAGATATGCTGAGTTTGATATTAAATTCACATGTTTGGTTCTGCTTGATTTTCAAAAAAAAAAAAAATTGTGTTTAGAGTCGACTCAAATTGGTCATTGCACATTAAGCCAGAACCCTGCACACTTCTAGCCAGCACATGCATGGCCAAACATTTAAACATTCCGAAAACAGTTGAAAACCCAAAAAAATAAAAAAAGAGCAAAGAGAGAGCAAAGGCAATCTGTCCTTTGATTAAACACTAGTTTAAGACCAAGAGCAAGTAAAAGCACAACAAAACCAAATAGACTCTAACTTTTGTTTTTTAATTGTGATGTATGAGAGGAAAAAAAAAGAAAAGCAATAAAGGTTGAAGTCTTGTTCCTAAGCCTAGCAACTATTTAGTCCTTTTGCAGTGGTATTTCATAAATAAATATTTCTCAACATAACCTGAGTTCATTTTTCCTTCAATCGGATTTAAGAGAGAAGGGCAAACCTGTTGCATAATCTGTGGGAATTCAGAGCAGAGAGTTTTTCTTCCATGATCATCAAATATCTTTTCCAAAGTTATGTCTTGCAATGCGACCAAGGTTGTCTCAAGCATGTCAAGCCCTGCTTGGTTTGCAAACGTGAAGACTGGCAGCGCCTGCAAAAACCACCCAAGTTTCAGACCAAATTGCTACAAATCCAGAAGTTAGCTATAGAACTGAGGTAACACTTCAGAATAATAATTGCATTTGAAATGATTATAACATTCTGTCGGTCGATAATATTTATTCAACTTGCATTATGTGCATTAAGAATTGACTCTTGGTTTAGGAGAATAATTATAACATTCTGTTGGTTGAACACATTTTTCAGCATTTTACAAATGCGACAGCAAGATACTTCCAGAACAAATCATTTAGAAAAAACTTCAATAACTTCGATTTATTCAGACAGGTAACGGTATATTAGAAGATAGAGAATAAACTCATATCTGCTGCATTCTAAAAGCATCATAGAATTGCTTCATATCATCTCTTTTATAAGGTATCGGGAGCATTCACGAGCAGATACAGCTTTGTTCAATTTAATAACATGTTTGTGTAGGTTCTCATGATTACTAATCCAAGCATTCATCTCATTAACAGTGAAAAGAAAGCAGGATATAGTGTTCTCACGCACACCTTCAGTGAGCAGCACATGATAGCGTCTGAATGATGCCACAAGGTTTTCAGAATGGATTCACTTCCTTCACTGTTGGATTTGAGTAGTTCCACGCCCAAATAGCTCCTGCAAAATTGTGACCATGTATCAAGCAGAGTGATAAGTGTTCAGTCAATGAAACATTTCCACTGTTCAAGATCGAAATACTTTTTGAAGAGAAAATGTAGTCAGCTTAATAGATTATACTATGTAAAACAGCTACATGAAATTTCAAAGAACTTGTACTGTGACCAAAACAAAACATCAATTCTTTCTTGATCCACATATATCTTCTACTGTTATATATGAAATGAGAAAATCCTATTAGAATCTAGAAGAAGTTACTCTTAAGATATCCAAATCCATTCACTTTAAAATCTTGTTGAAAAAAACAGACTTCAGTGACAAGAAGAAAATTTATTTCTTGTGGGAGAAGATGTATATTAGAATGACTCAATCATCAGGTAACATCTCTCAGTTAATTCAATTGGTTTGTTAAACTGAATGTGGTAGATTATCACCTAGGTCACAAACTGACACGCTTCCTGATTCAGATAACCTCTATGGAAAGGAACAACCAACGCACCTGTAGCTCTGGCAGATCCAGCGAGCAAGTGTCTGCGCTTCAGGAGTACCCAGTGGTGAACGAAGGCCAGCCTGAGAACCCAGATTAGAAGGAGATAGTGCTAATGCCACCCTCTGAACTGAGGATATAATGCTGCGGACATATTGCCGAGCCATTGATGCTACATGTTCTTGCATGTGGCTCTCAAATGCAAATTCAAATGCAATTGTCATTACAGATCTTGTGCAGCCAGAATTAGCAGAATAATCACTGGATGCTCTGTTTCCAGCTGCTCCAACTTCAAGAGCAGACGCAAGGTCCAAGGTACGGTTTGGACTGGAGGCTTCCTGCTCCATTTTTCAGTCCATTAATAAAGAGTCTAATAAATAGGCAAGGAGAAACAAACTACTCCAGAAATAATTAGCTAACCTTCCCAGAGTCAAGGGGAATGATTCGAAAACCAGAAGGCAAAAGGGGTGCATCATCAGCAAAAGTAGCATCAATTGGCGCAAATATAAGTTCAGCACAGGTGCCAACAGCATTCTCATCCATTCCACAGCAGAGCTGTCAGAAAAAGTACAAATGGAGCAAATAAGAAAGAGAACCAAAAAGAACAATGTCATCAAGTGACAAAAGCATGAAAAGAATGAAGCTATGCAATCCCTGCCCAGAACCAATCAAGTGTACTCGTGATGCAGAAGCCCAACCAGAGTTAAGTAGATTCCCCATATTGAGAGTTTCCAGGACACCCTGGCAATTGGCAATCAAACTCTCCAAAAAGATATTTTGAAAGAGAAAAGGGTGGAAACAGGAAGGCAAAATAAGAAAGAGAACCAAAAAGAACAATGTCATCAAGTGACAAAAGCATGAAAAGAATGAAGCTATGCAATCCCTGCCCAGAACCAATCAAGTGTACTCGTGATGCAGAAGCCCAACCAGAGTTAAGTAGATTCCCCATATTGAGAGTTTCCAGGACACCCTGGCAATTGGCAATCAAACTCTCCAAAAAGATATTTTGAAAGAGAAAAGGGTGGAAACAGGAAGGCAAAATAAGAAAGAGAACCAAAAAGAACAATGTCATCAAGTGACAAAAGCATGAAAAGAATGAAGCTATGCAATCCCTGCCCAGAACCAATCAAGTGTACTCGTGATGCAGAAGCCCAACCAGAGTTAAGTAGATTCCCCATATTGAGAGTTTCCAGGACACCCTGGCAATTGGCAATCAAACTCTCCAAAAAGATATTTTGAAAGAGAAAAGGGTGGAAACAGGAAGGCAAAATAAGAAAGAGAACCAAAAAGAACAATGTCATCAAGTGACAAAAGCATGAAAAGAATGAAGCTATGCAATCCCTGCCCAGAACCAATCAAGTGTACTCGTGATGCAGAAGCCCAACCAGAGTTAAGTAGATTCCCCATATTGAGAGTTTCCAGGACACCCTGGCAATTGGCAATCAAACTCTCCAAAAAGATATTTTGAAAGAGAAAAGGGTGGAAACAGGAAGGCAAAATAAGAAAGAGAACCAAAAAGAACAATGTCATCAAGTGACAAAAGCATGAAAAGAATGAAGCTATGCAATCCCTGCCCAGAACCAATCAAGTGTACTCGTGATGCAGAAGCCCAACCAGAGTTAAGTAGATTCCCCATATTGAGAGTTTCCAGGACACCCTGGCAATTGGCAATCAAACTCTCCAAAAAGATATTTTGAAAGAGAAAAGGGTGGAAACAGGAAGGCAAAACTTCTCTTCATTTTACACTTCTACTCTACAAACTTGTTCTTGCCATGAATACAATCTTTTGACAGAAGAAAAGGCTGATTTCCACTAATTCCTATCTGAACACAAATGGTGAATGGGGAAGATTTGCATAAGTATTTCTATCTTTCAAATTCTGCAGTTTATTCCAAACAAGAACTACATGGGGGTCCATTTCAAAAGTTTCTGTGAACTATTGGCGATTTCTTTTCACTCCATAGCCATGTTTTAAAATTGACCTGCCAACTTACGACAAGAAAAGAGAGCTTGTCCTCTTGCCTAATAGGACAAGCTGCTGATGTATTTGAATGCAAGAGAGAGAAACAAAAAGCGACGAAAAGAAAAGTCTTACTTGCAAAAGAAACACATCTCTGGGCATCATTGCATCTTCAGGAGAATGGCTAACACCTTCCAGTTTTATGACTTCCAGGAACTAATAAACACAATGTTTATTAGACGCAAAATGAAGGTGAAAACAATAAAGATAACAGCCATGCTTAATTTCTGATATAAGGCCTTGTCCAATAGCTGTAAAAGTAAGATCAAATTGTTCACCTCTTCGTGCTCAACAGTGTGAGCCAGTGGAAGTATAACTTGACCCCCAAAACTTCCAACTCGAGACCCTTGTAAACTACAAGGACCGACTTTAACTGCTGCAGCCGCATAGGCGTCGATATTGTTATCTGCCCATTCTGACCTATGCTCCCGCAAGAACCTGAGAAGGATTGCAGGGGGGACATTCTGAAAAAGGAAAGCCCACGACATAAGGAAAGATGATAAACAGCAACTCAGTTATAAGGCACAGAAATAAACAAGAAGATTCAAACCAGGACTTCATTAGAAACAAATTGTCTGCCTTTCATTGTTTTCAAATTTATGACGTAGATATACAATGTATTTATCTCTTGGTATTGTAAGGGAAAACAAAGGGCATAAATATATAAAATACAATTCCCTATTGCAAGAACCCTACTGTTGAAGGTACAGAAAAGCCACACATAACTCTTTAAAAGAAGAAAATGCTCTACCAGCAACTAAACACACAGCACACAAATTACTTAGTGTTATAAGATATTTTTGTGTTTCAACTTTTGTTTACACAAGTCACAGAAATCAAACAATTTCGTATCCCTACCTGTAAAAGCATTGATGCTTTAGCACACAGGACTGCACTGCTGACAGCTGGGAACCCATTAGTGAAGGAAAGATTTAAACCCAACAACTTATCAGGAGATGAGTTCACAAGGATAGTAACATCATCCATGCCATCATTTCCAATCATTGACCATCCCTCATCACTAAATCCATTGAGAGCCTCATTAAAACCCCTGCCAGGATTACATCAGATTCAAACTGGCAGATAAACATTAAAGGACTGAATCAGATACTGTACAAAAACAGAAGATATCAACCTGCTCAGCCTCTGGCTCAACGCTCGTAGAGCTGCAGGACGTCTGCCCCAGTTAGTCACATTAGATTGAGAAGCTTCCTGAGCTATCTGTCTCAGCTGGCGTAGAGCCTGCATTGAAGTGATAAACATCATTGAAAATAAGAAGTTACAATTGCATCACCCTAACTACATAGGCGTTTCTAGACAACCTTTAAATGCTCATGACAGAAAAAGTGGAGAAATTGCTTACTGCCACTGTTGTCTTTTGAGCAAGTACAGATGAGGATTCATAAAGTGGGCGTAATACTTCAGGGACACTCCAAGGCTAGTTGAAGAAATCAGTAATCAAGTCATGATCTTGGGTCAGATAGAAATTTTACATTACACAGCCAAAAAATAACATCATGTACAGCGTATCCTACCTCCAAATCCATGTGGTCAACTATGTGTATGATGGAACCACCACCTTCACAAGGTCGTACCAGATACCCGCTTGGGAGCATTTCTGCTCTCACAAAATGCTGCACTGGTGGCATGCTCGGACCATTTTGAGTATTTTTCAGAGATCTCTCACAAACCTGAATATTGCAAGAGTATGAAAATGACCACAGGAAAACAAGCCTACCAAATTTCCTAAGATAAGAATTACAAATTCTAAAAGTTTGGAGCATACCACAAGGCTTCCATCTTCTAAAACAGAAGTATAACGCAACAACCAGAAGTCACGACCAGGGGCCAATGTCGTTGGCGCATAGAGCTATATCATCAATAAAAATCAGAAGTCATTATATAATTGCAGCTAGAGTTTGCCAACAGAAATGAGAACTACATAATGATTTGTTCTTACCTGCATGTAAAGCAGCTCAATGGTTCCACCATTAGCAGTGGGCAGCACATTCAGCACATCCACAGCTCGGCAATCACGAAACCACGACAGCCGATCCTTGAGGATTTCTGCAACCTGGAAGGAACATTATATATTACACACACTTGGCAGCGCAGAGTAGGAAAATGGTATGGCAAACCAAGTGCACTTACCCTTGTAGGTTCAAGACCCACCAGGCCGCAAGCTCGTGCCCCCACACCAGTACAACCATGAGAAATAGCAACGATTCCAATGGAATCCGGACCAGGCTACACATTTCAAAAAACAAAATTGTTATGAAGAAACAGACTGGTAAAAACCAAATTGATGGAAAGCAGTTGGTGAATTTCAAGCAGAATGCTAAACAAGGACAAAGAAAAGGTGTGTATTCTCAGATCAAGAAATTCAAATTAAACCTTTGTAAAGAAAAAAAGTCAAAAGGAAGTTCTTGCATTCAGCAGCCTAACATTATAGACGCTTGTAATAAGCAGAGCAACTTAATTCTATCTGTCCTTATTAATACATTTCTCCTTTTAATGCAAAAACAAGTACCATTCCAATTAAATAATAAGCAAGAGATATTTTATAATTAAAAAATTGATAAAAGCAAATTATTTGATATTCCGGGAGGTAATATTAAAATTAAATAAAATAATTTACCTGATTAGATTTTTTGCAGTTTTTTATTCGAGAAAACAGTTCTTAATTTATGGAATTTTAGAAAATAAAAAAGAAAGTTTAAAAGTAATGAGAGATACCTTCATTCCAGGCATTTGGACCCACTCTACAGCAGTTCCAGTGGCCTTCGAAAGAAACTCTGTTAAAGTCTCTTCTGCAATGGACAAAAGCCTGGAAAAAATACAAAGCAATTCAATATTCCACGCACATACACACACAACAAAGCGGTCACAAAGCACGATAACAGAAAAGGACCTAACAACCATAACCCCACTAACCCTGCAGGACTAGCATCCCTTGGCGGATGCTGAGGTGTCAGGTGGTGTTGACCGCTCGTCACCACTGATTCACAGCTTGTATCTTTGGTTGCAAGCGTTGTCTGTAAGAAAACCACCCATCTCCATCTCAATTTCCACAAACTCAGTAAATAAATGAATAAATTGATAACACAAATTCTTTATTTTTTCCTAAGAAAAAGAGAAGCATTTTTAGAATCTCATGGGCAATTCCAAAATTTCAATTTCTTCCTCCTTTACAAGTTCCCAATAACCAAACCTGTTACAATGTGAAGCAAGAAAACATAGCAAGAAAAAAAAAAGCCTAAATTCTCACATTCTGGGTATGTTGGCGAAAGTAGCCATTCTCATACACCAGCTGTGACACCTGCTTCTGCAACCTGTCATTCTCTTCCATCAGAAGCTTGTTCATTGCAGTCAGCTTTCTATTCACCGCTTGGAGGCGTGACGCTTCTTTCCTCTGCTTCTCTCGGCATCTGAAGAATACAACGGTATCGCAAGAGAGTTTAAAATATAAAATTATAGAAAGATAACAAATCCAAAAATTTCAAAATAACATTGTCCATAAGAGAGCATTAAGACGTAGTGCAACTGCTAAAAGAGGAAAGGTCTTTCCATTTCCCTTTTTTTCTTTTTAATAAGCAAAGCATGACAATTTAACATATCAAACAAATACAAAAGCTAATAAAAGAAACGAAAATAAGTTTTCTTGGCTGTGAAACTTAAAGTTTATAATTTTACCTTCTATTTTGGAACCAAACTTTGATTTGTTTGGGCTCAATGTGGGAAAGAATTGGGCACTCCCTAATAAGCTGCTGGCGGCGAATGGAGCTGGGCTTGGGGCAATCGTGATATAGCCTTTCCAGTGCTTCGACCTGCTCAGGCGTGTACCGTACATACTTGCCATTGTCCATGTTAATAGGCTGCTTACCATCCTTGCAGGACATTGCCATCTTCAAAATCCAACTTCACAAATGACCACCAGATAAATATTAGCAACCCAACAACCACCTAAGGAAGGGTTTCTTTTCCTTCCAAGCTGCTAAATTTCTAAGCCCCAACAAGATTCCAAACCAAACCCTCCAAGTAGCTCTTTCTTCTAACTCAAATATTCTCTTGTGCTTAAGATATTACAGCTTGAACCAACTTTGTGCAGCTTTAAATCCACCAAAGTAACCTCCCTTACTCATCGATTACAACACTTCTTGCAGCTTGAAGATATAAAAGAAAAGAAACGGCATCAACAAACAGATATACAACTAGGAGAGATCAGTTGTTAAAAATCAAGCAGCCAACATAAAAGTAAACCAAACCCGGCTAGTCTCTCTTCCTTAACCAAAATTTGAAGCACTAAAGAGAACTCAAATGTTTTTTTCTTTTCTTTTTTTTCTTTCGAATTTTTACTGGCTGATGATTGTGAAATGTAGAGATAGAGATAAACCCACAAGGGACAGCGATGTCCAGAAGGGATACATCGTTATCCTCCTCCTTGTATTTTATCTACTTATCAGACAGTCCCCAAACACAAGAAAAGCATAAACCTTTCGAGATCAGAGCTCCACACCAAACGATCTGTCTCACCCACTAAACCCCAAAAAACTCACCACCCGGAGATCTCTCCTTTTGCGGCACCGTATTGCCGATCCAAACTCGAAAAGCAATCGTCCCTAGCCGCTGAAACATTTTCCTTTTATTTCCCTTTGCCCCCTCTATGAGTTATTTATTTAACAGGAGAAAGCAAACAGATATACAAAACGTAATGGTGGGGGGTTTTTCGGAGAAAAAGTAAAGATTTTTGGCTTTGCAACATGTAAAAAATGGGTGGTTTTTTTTCTGAAAAAAATTACTGTTGAAGAGAAGGAGGAGGAGAAGGAGGAGGACAACCTTATTAGTTGAAGAGGGTTAGAAGCTAAAAACGGAAGGAGCACTGTAGTACTTGTAGCACTGGTACTAGTCCTAGTGGGCAGTGGCTTTACTTTATGATGTTTTTGCTGTGTTGTCTGTGTATTATGTGTGGCTCTCTCATTGGTTTGTCACTTTCGGCTCAGATAGAGAATAGCAAGCATAGACTTTTCTTTCACTCTTTCAACCTTTCTTCCACTGTGTGGGAAAATGGGAAGTCCCATTAAAATAAAAAAAGAAAAAGTTTGTTTTTCAAATTAGTGAGTTCTGTAATGGCAGATATGCCCTTTTGGGTCATTTTGGTGAGACAGTTAAAAATAGGTTAATTGATTGTTTAGGATTGTCTGCCATGCCAAAATTATCCCGACATCGTGTTGCTTCTTCTGCTTGGCTTGTTGCATTGATAATACCACTTATTTTGCATGGCTATGGCCCTATGGAGATCATAGTGCGAATACTTTCCTTTTCTCTCCCTCCTTTTCTATCATGTTTGCCATTTTTTTTTTTGGATATTATATGTGCATTTTAAGTAAATAGATGATTCTGTTTATACTTTTTGGTGAGGGAGAAGCAACTTTGCAATGTGTTACATATGATTCTTGCATGTGAAAACAATAACAATGCTTAAAATAGAAAGTTTTGAAGGTTAGTTTTGTTTTGTTAGAGTACTGGATTATTGCTTGCATAATGGTTTATTCGCAAGTTGTTTATGAAAGCTAGTATGAACTTTTAGAGTGATACTATATATTTTAGAAGAAAAAAAGTCATAAAAATATGTGATCAGAAGATTATTAAGATCAATAAACTTCGTCAATAAATATATCTATTATGTGATTGAATGGCTTATGAATTTTCTTGTATTTTATTTTTGTTGTTAGTTATCAAATAGATCTATTTTTGTCTCTTTTTTTTTGAAATAATACTGCTCAGTTTTTATTTGTTGCTCTTATAATTGTATTCGTAATTACAACTTCATTATGGAATTCAATTTAATATGATCAAGATATGATGAAATATTCAATATTATATGCAAATAAAGGACATTGGTAATGAAACTTCATCAATTTATATTAGTTAATCTTTAAATACTTTTGCTTCATTGCAAGTCGAGTGTCATTTGATGAAGTAATATCATTATTGTGTAAAAAAAATAGGAGACATTATCTAAAATGTCAAATTTAGAAAAGAGTTTTTTTTTTCATATTTGGATCGTTTGTTTTTTTATTTTTTTATTAAGAAATTTTTTTTTTTACTCGATTGTAACCATCTACTATTCAAAACGTCTTACTTTAAACTCAATATTATAACATCAACAATCAATAATCAATACATAGTCAATATTTTTTATTTTACGGTCCAACGTATCAATTGTTGGTTGATGGTGCTATAATAGAAAGGCTGAAGTGAAAAAATTTTTAAAAAATAAAAGGTCTCAATTAGGTAAAAATAAATTAAAAATGTTTAAAGATTATGAAGTCTAGATGTTGAGCAAACCCATTTAAAAAATATGTAAATAGTTATTAAATTTCATACCAATTACTTTCTTATTAGTGATGTTACAATCGATATTAACTTTGCTACTCAATAATGAATGAGTAGCTTATTTTTCAACAATAAAAATATCTTCAAATCAAATTATGCGAGATAATTTTAACGATACAACTTCACGTAGATTTATTATATTTAGAAAAATAAATTGAAAAAAGATATTGGCCTTGAGTTTTAAACTCAAAATAAAATAAATTCAACTAATCTCCTTGATTATTAGACCTACTATTTAAGGTTACGAATAGCCACTTTAAACTCATCCAAACTAATGTAAACAAATAATATTGTAAATAGATAATATTCTGAAATACTTTAAGTAACAAATATATTTTTATTTTTCTTACATAGCTGATAATTGACCAAGTCGTAAAGTGCATGACCTCAAAGTCTATGATAAAAACAATACTACTGCTGAAGTAGATTTTATACCGCTTATCAAAGTATCGTTTTTTGTCATAAGTTTAAGATTATAAATTTGAGAAATCGATTTAATCTATCATCATATTTAAGGTCTAATTTTAAATTTATCTCTATAAATCTAACTGCATCCAATTTGTCCATAAATATAATGTAATTTTTTAATCTATTTTACAATTGAATTTTCCTATATGATAGGGAAATGCCCTTAAATGAAAAACTCAAAACTCAAAATCGACTTGATCAATTAAAAAAAATATATCGACGCCATATGACAGTTTGTTTCTTTTTTTAAATTTTATTTCTTTAATTAATCAGATCGGACTTAAGTTTCACACGTGAAGATATTTGTATCAATCTAGAAGAAAAAATCGGCAAGAAGGCTAAATCGAAGAAATACCTAAAATACACAGACAAGCGCGCGCACGCGCACAAGGTTCATTGGGCCTTGCGCAACACAATGGAGGAGGCTTCGCCTAGAGTAAATTATAAATTAGTCCCTCTAGTTTTGTAAATGAATTAAATAGTTTTTTTTATTTAAAATATTAATTAATTAGTTACTTGACCGGTATTAATCATGATTAATTTAATATTAATTTGTTTCAAAAAGTATCCTTATTTTCTCATTAATTTTGTCTTATTTTATATTTTCTAAAACCAAAAAAATTAAAAAAACAATTAAGTTACAAATAAATATATTACTTTTCAAATTAAAGAAATTATTTAATTCGTTTTGAAAAATTAAAGGGACTAATTTGTAATTTACTCAATCAGTCTCCAAAGCCTCCACAATTCTCTTCCCACCGAGCATACAGGGGAACGCATATTTTATTGATGTCATCGCAGTCGCTTTACATGGCCAAATCCAAACCTCACAAGGTATTTACCAACTTCACGAGGGCAAATATGTTAATTAGAAACAGACAATGCAGGAAACAAGAAGCTCATGAAGTAAATGGCAAAAGAGGAAATTAGCACAAGAGAGAGAGGCAAAAAAGTAAGAAAATGCGTGAATGAGAGGGGAAACTTACGAAGGAAAAAAAACAACGCTAGAAACCATAAAGGCATGGAGAGAGAGGGAGAGGCTTGCGTGGGACACAGAGGACACCATGATTGGGGTTTTTGCATGCGTCTCGATTTATTCTTTAAAGCTGAAACCAAATAAATAAACAATCCAGAGTCTGGTAGTAATTTCCTTTTTTAAAAAATAACGTCTTATTTTTATTTTTAAAGATTATTTTTTTAAGCTACCAATAATAATACATAATCCTGCCGTCATCATCAGACACAGCCGTTGCAGGCATAATATACCCACATATATATATCTATACATGACATGATAAATATAGGAATAGGAATGGGAATATAAAAAAATAAGTGATAGGATGTGAAATGACAGGTGAGATGGGAATTATATGGACAGATAGGTGGGTGGTTGATGTAATGTCGGGGTGGGACAGATTGGGTGTTAGCCATAGCAGAGAGGACACAGTCATATCTACGAATGTTGAAGAAGATCAGAATTGAGTCACAAAATGGGAAATTATTATTAGTTGAAATATCACAGCTATTACGTTTGCCTCAGCCGAAAAAGACAAAGGGAGTTAAGTGAACTGTCTAACAACAAAGACTTTTTTTTTTTTTTCCACCACCTCGTTGTGGCCTTTTGGTTTTTACCCAAAGATCATGGATTCAATTATCATTATGTACTTGAATTTGTGCTCATCATTTACAATTAATGCAATAAATGGGTTAGTTAGCATCTCATTAAACTCCATTTTTTCTACTTAGGAAAAAATATATATGTATTCCTATGAAAATATTATGTCACCAATCCTAGCCTTTCCCTCCTACTCCCCTTCTTATGCCAAACAAATTCAGTCACTCCCCTGTATATATTCAAAGAACTCGTTGATCATCATTGATATAAGATAATTTTTATCAACCAAAATGGTATATGTTCTTTAATCAAACTTTGAGGGAAAGTAATCAAGAAATTGATGATCTAGTTCGTATTGATTTTTTGAATAATATTCTTTTTGAAATTTTGAATTATCTCTTGTTTAGTATTAAAGACGTTTTATCT